CCAATGTGCAACGTCGTGCACAAGGAGGCTGCGTCCACGCCCAAAGTGTCTGCGCCCAGGCCCAATTCAGTAGCCTCGTACCCGGCCTAAGTGAAGGCAGGCCTGTATTATTCCCCAGCGGGCCAGTGGCCTATTTTCGCCTTTTCTGAGGACTTGGGGGGCACCAGTTGGTTGAAGATGCCCTTTGTGACCAAGGCCTGGAAACAGGCCACTCAGACTCCTTGTGCACGATGTCCCACATTGGCTTTCACCCAATGAGGAGTCTCCTAACAGCAGTGGCCACGTCGCACAAAGCTGGAATGGCTTACCTGTTTCGGTCCCCACGCCAGCATCCGAATGGGGCCTGGGCGCAGACGCTCTGGGCCAACGTGAAGCTACTGGGAACCCTTCCTCCAGTCCAGGCCACCAACAAGGGCAAGCACTTTCCATATGTGGAAAGTGCCCGCCAGCCAGTGACTCATTCTGGTCCTGCTTCATTTGGGGGCAGCGCTGCTCGTTTGCGTGCAGAGAGCCGCTAGTGGAAGAGGCTGGGGCGCACGCAGGCGCTAGTGGGTGGGTGCTGCTGGAGACAGCGCGGGGAGTGAAGCTGCTTCTCCAACTCGCGTTTGGTGAGAGGGATAACGTGTGGGGGACAGACAAGTGTGTGTGTGTGTGTGTGTGAGAGAGAGAGAGAGAGAGAGAGAGAGAGAGAGAGAGAGAGAGAGAGAGAGAGAGAGAGAGAGGACATACTGGGTTGTGCTGTGGAGGTCTGCATGGACGGCGTCTTCACATACGCAGGTCTGCTGCTGAAGTCGTCCCGTTGTTGTAGTGTCGGCTACCGTCTTCACCTGAGTAGAACGTGTGGTCATTATCGCTGCATCTGGTCTGGAAGTTGCCCCGAATACACCTATAATATTCCGGCCGTTCTATTCGGGTGAAGCCGGTATTATAGGCGCTGTGTGATCATAGTCTGGGCACTGAGCGCCAGGAGGAGAAGAAGAAACATTGGATACATTGTGTTTTTTTTTTGTTTGGATACATTGTTGATGGTAGTGAGATTAGGATGACAGTCTGTAAATTTTTCGTATGGGACGCTGGGCCCCGTTCCCAGCACGTGCTGCTCCCCACGAATAGATTGGAGCTTTGTTTTTTTTTTTGTTGAAAGAAAAAAAAAAAAGGACGACTTTGACAACTGAGTTCATTGCTTTGGTCCCCCTCAGTGTGTGTAACTTGGGGCCTCGCCACTGCACTGTCGAAACGAACGAAGTTTGAGTGCATCTTCACGCAGAACGTGGCAAGATGCATCCGTTGCTATGAATAGCAATGGATGCATCTTACCACTTTCTGGGGTAGATGCGTTCTTCCTTTTTTTCGTTTCGACAGTGGTGTGGCGAGGCCCTTGGTGCGTTCTGCGTTCTGGACAGATGTTTACAGCGATTAGTTATTTGAGTCTCTTGTTCATTTCTTTTCTATTTGCCTTAACGCATGACTATCTGGCTCTCAATGATGTGATGTTGCAATTTGCATTTCTGTCCTTTCGCGCTCGCTCATTTTCCTTGCATAGACATCAATATTTCCTGGGCTACCAACCGTGCCGCCCGGGTCACCTTGTTTTCCAGGGTGGCCTGGCCGTGTGAGGACCAGCGAAGGTCCCGGCAAAAAAAATAAAATAATAAACAAATATCCAAAAAATCCGGGGAAAAAAAGACTATGTCATGCAGAAAAATAAACTGAACAGCTTTTGCCTCAAGGGTCACATCGAAATTCCCAGTATTTGTTTTTGCCCCGGCCGGGCAAGTGGTCCCGGGCCACTCTGCCAAGTCATGGAGATGCAAACCACTCTGCCAAATCACAGAGATGAGAGCTGTTCACGGCCAAACTGCAATTGATAGTATGGATTGAATTACCTCACGGTCATCTTATGTAGACAGGCTTTATCCCTGGTAGCCAGGTTTTTTTTTTTTTTTTTTTTTTTTTTTTTTTTTTTTTTTTTTTTTTTTTTTTTTTTTTTTTTTTTTTTTTTTTTTTTTTTTTTTTTTTTTTTNTTTTTTTTTTTTGTGCATTTGCATGTCGTTCTGCGATTATTATGATTTTTGTTGGGTTTAGATTTGCAGGTTGCTCTGCGAACAGCCTGCTGCTCTGGGCCGAGGTCCCACTAGCAAAGAGGATTGGATCGAATGCCTGAATCTGGACTTGTTTGTGGAAAGGTGCAGAATGTCGCGGTTGAACTGCTTTCCTTCCTGCATCTCTGCTTAAAACACGTTCAGATTCAGGATATTTATCCAATCCTCTTTGCTAGTGGGACCTCACCCCTGGGGGTAGCCACAGAGTTTCCGGTCTCTGGCCAGCACGCTGCTGAGGTTTTTTTTTTTTTTTTTTTTTTTGGAAATCCAGCCCCGGTCCGCAAAAGGGGCTGAGGTTCTAACTTCTGATTTCTATTTTTTTTTAATCTATTTTTGCAGGCACTGAGTATCACCTGCTGACAACTGGCATCAGCGTCCCCATAAACCGCACTTTTCCACAAAGACGCCCAGATTCAGGTGATACTCAGTGCGGACCTGACCTTGCGGAAATGTTTTACGGATATTGTAGGCATGTTAGTGACATCTGATCGGGGGTCGGGGACTGAGTCCCACTAGCAGCGTTGAGTTTTCTAAACGCCTGAATCTGGTCGTGTTTGTGGAGAGTTTTCCTCAACCGCACTTTTCCACAAAAACGTCCAGATTCAGGAGTTGAGGAAACTTCAACGCTGTTAGTGGGACTTGGCCCCAGGTCCCACTACCGCCGTTT